CAAGTACATGAACAGTCTTGTTATCTGACAGATTCTGAGTCTTCATAACTGCCCAAGACTTTGGTAAGATTTGAATCATTACAGTACTATTTTTCTGTCTCTGTCACAGGCTTTGTATTCATTTTTTAAAAAGCTTGAAGGCAGGAAAAAGGCAACAGATTGAATTTGGGAGGTTTTTTTTTTTTTTAAATATATAAATGCTCCACAAGTTTCTCCTTTGTTACCAAGTTTTTGATGCAGATGTGGTTGAGAAATGTCATGGACCCTTCCTTCTCCCTGCTTGCTGTTCTTTGGCTGCATTTTCAAAAGCAGTAGATGGGAAAGGAGAGCCCAAAATCCATCTATGTAAGAGCACTTATTTCAGCAGAGAAATGCTTTCCTATTGAATCATGTTGCTAGTTTTCTTAACTCCGTAACACAGTGAAACATTAGATGAGAATGACCAGTTTTTAAGGTCAAAAGGAAGTGGAAAAGGAGGGATACTGAAGCCAAGTGTGAATGAGTTTTCTTTTTAATCTGTTTAATGTTTCTTTCATTGATATACTTATTTGGAAGGTGGAGAACTTGACTGACATGTCGTGGCTACTCTTAGCTGCTGTTCTGAGGCTACAGCCTCCTTTGTTAAAGACATACATTGAAAGAGTTTTTATGACATTGGCTAATACTTCAAACTACTTACTAGATGGTGAATTTGACCCGTGAGTCTAGACTGGCAAAAGGAGGGCTTGGGACACTGACCTAGAGAAACCGAGGAATGTTTGTGGGGGGTTTTCAGACCCAAGATAGTTTCTGGGCCAATAAAGAGCCAGTTTGTTAGACCATTTTGGGAACTACTCTGTGTGCTTAGGACATCTCTGAAACCTTTCTAGTCCATAGCCATTGTTTTTCCAAAGAACAAGAATAATAACTAATTACATCCTCTACGGGAGCAACCTTTTCCCACCCATATCTTTATCCCCTTCAAGGATTAAAATGCAAGTGTTAAGAAATGTCAGAAATAACATTTGCAACCCACTCCAATGCCAGTTAAAGTATTTTGGCCTATAATGAAATTTGGGCCTCTTGAAGAATGAATGCTATGTGGAAAAGGTTTATTATCACCAAGTGCTCTGTACATAAATACATTATCCTGACTTCTGAAGTCAGTTTGAAAAACAAAAAAAAATGTGAGGAGTTTGATTTTCTTTCGTAACATTGCATCCCACAGATCACATCAATATTAAATTACTTGGTCTTCTCATCTATCGTTTTGATAGAAAATGCAGATTTTTTGTTTACCTTATAAGCTTTCTTTAACATAAACAGCAGTGTCTTGTAAGGTGGAATTGCTATGCATTTGCATTGTTATAGAATTAAATTATGGATTCTGTCATTCAAAAAGGAATGCTTTATAAATCAAGTAAAAATCTCATAACTAAGATGTATAAGTTTCTTTAAATCTCATGCTGCCTCATATTCCATACTTTAGTTTTATAGCCTAACTTGATGTGATTTTTAAAGTGCGTTTTTCTCTTTTCCTTATTTCTGTGTATTGTTTAGCTTTGTAAAAATGCCATCTATTTACCAAGAAAAAGCTTAAGAAAAGTTACTACATGTAACAGATAGTGATAAAATAAAAAACAAAAAAGCACATTCAGGTTTTATCTCTGGTTCAGGAAAAAAAGCCAAATACACTGTACTTCCTCCCTTTCTCTTGCTTTCCCTGATAAACTTTAAATGATATTAACAAGCCATAAATTGAAACAAAATTGTGTGATCTCAGTTATTCTTTTGTTCCTTTGGAACTTCTAAGTATGAGAGACAGTGTTTATATCTTTTTTTTTTTTTTCAGAAGGACTATGAATTGTGTTCCGGAGCTGTGTGTGTGAATTGTTTTAGCTAACTAGGCTTTGCAATCCTAAGGCAATCCTGCTCAGCAACTGCTCAGGTTGTTTTTTTCTCATCACTGCTATGTAACTGCCCCAAAGCATAGGGATTGATGCAATGGCCCTGAATGTGACTATGCCTCAAGATGAAAGATAAGCAAAGGAGAAAGAAGGTCAGGAGTGAGGTATTTTCTTGGGTCAGGGGGCAGTATCTCCAAATGCAGCTGCTGGTAGAGATGAAAAAGACTGAAATCCAGAAGAGAGGTCAGAGATAGACATTTTAGATCTAGACAATTGTAGGGCTGCCTGAAATGTTGGAATGACTCCATTTCTCTGGGGGCAGGGGTATGGTGTAGGGCAGGATGAGAAAAGAGAGCCAAGGATTTAGGTCTGAGTTTTCAAGGAGGAGGAGGAGGAGAAGGAGGAGTTGGAGGCCCAAACTTAGAAGCATAAACCAGTATGGCTGACCGTGGAAGTCAACAAGTACCATCTCTCCTTCAGGCTGTGGATTTTGAGGCAGATAGCCTCAGTTACTTGGGTGAAGATTGAGGGTGGATCCAGGTATCAAGGTCCCTGTGACTGTTTTTATCATTATGAAAGGTCTACTAGATGGAAAACAATCCTTACCGTTTCCCTTTAGGCAAAAGATTCCCATTATTGTGACTGTTCATACATATAAAGATTTCTTTAGTCTTTCCTTATATGTATTGAAATTCTATTGTTATTCTTGATCTTACTTGTAGACATTCAGGAGAATTTGGTTCATATCATTTTTAGCTTTCGCTACCTACAAACTCTTCTTTTCACAGGATTCGCAAAGTAACATTTGAAATGATGTTTTTAGGTCTTAGAAATTGTCTACGTCTGATGAAGAAATTGAAATCACAAAAACAAAAGGGCCAACTTGATAGAAAACAATAGTATATCCTTTAATTTTTCATACTAGGTTTTAAGTTATACTCAGCTTTTTTCCAGAGAAGGTAATACTCTAGAGGAAAAACTCTGGCTAATAGACACAGAGTGCATCTGGATAGCAGGAATAACTTTTAGTATTCTATAGCAGCATAGTAGAGTACTTCTAGTTGATAACAATTAATTATTAATTTAAAAAAATAGGTGGCAAAGATGATTCTGAATGTACTCCACAAAGAAATGATAGTCGTCTGAAGTGACAGATCAATTATCCTGGTCTAATCAGTATACATTATAGAATGTGTTGAAATTTTACACAGAAAAAAGTAAAAAACAATCATGCCTGTACTCCAAGAATATATACAATTATGTCACTAAAACTTAAAACTATTTTAGCCATGCACCAGTTGTTCACACCTATAATCCTAGCTACCTATGGCTTGAAGCTGGCCTGGGCAAGAAAATCCAATGAGACTCATCTTCAGTTAACCACGAAAAAAGCTGGAAGTGGAGCTATGGCTATGTGTTTGAGACACAAAAAATTCTGGGCCTGAGACAGCACCCAGGCCCAGAATTGAGGCCTCAGAACTGGCAATCAATCAATGAATAATAAAACTTTTTAAAAAATACATTGAAATTAATGCAAAACCTAACCCTCAAGAATGTTCATTATATATAGCTGTATAAAAGTCTGAATGGTCATATCTTGACAGTAAAATCATAGGAATTCTTTCATAGAAAGATAACTAAATTTGGAAGAATGGTTCCATAAGCCATTTAGCATCAAAAATAAGAAAATGTATCGCATGAGTTGAATGAAAACACTTGGTGAATGAATTTATTTTTCTACTGGGAATTCAGGTAGCCTAGCAATTTGAACTGGAGTCAAAAGAAAAAGGAGTTACCTTTTTTCCTACTTTTCATTCCACTCCCACCCCCTGCCTTAACCTCACACATACAGTAATGAATCTTAGCATCTGTGGGAAAATGGATTGCTTGCAGTTTGCTTGTCTTAAAGGTATTATGGTGGGGTGGGGGGGAGGGGGGAGGCTGGGAAGGGAGGTGAAGGGTAAACAAAGGAGGAGGCTGCAATGCTTGGTAAGAAATGTATGCATTATCCTGCCCATGTAATTGTAACCCCTCTGTACAGTATGTTCTCAAATAAAATAAAATTAAATTAAAAAAAAAAAAAGGTATTATGGTGGACCAAACAATCCAAATGAAATAATCATAAGCTGCTGCATGTGATGCTCAGGAGTTTAACACAATAATAGGTCACATGACAAAAGTGTGATAAACAACTTGTCCAGTAACATTTTTTGCTGCCACATAAGCACCATAATCAGTAGTTATGTCAGTATTTACATGACAACAAAAGCGTGTTTGATTTCATGAAACTGACATAATCCTGTCTTGTAAGTATGTAAACCATCAGTAAAATGTTGAAAGAGCAGAGAATCCAAAATATACCTTGCTCTCAATTATTAAAGTAACGTAAGCTTATCGTTCCCAGAATTTAAAGAACAACGTGGCTGCCAAACATAGTAATTGATTCTTTGATTAACCAATTATCAGTGGATTTCAAAAAAATTCACATTATATAAGTTTCACAATAGGATCCTTGGAGTTTGGACTGTCCTAAATAATGGGGTCTAAATTTTTTATTTTCATGCAGATGATTATTAATTATCTTTCTGGCTTTTTCTTTAATATGGAGATCCAAATCTTGAATCTTACTTAATTTAAAGTCGGTTGTATTAAATTGAAACATTTAATTTACATCTCATGTTGGAAGGCTTTTAAATTTAAATTTGTACTTTTTTTTAAACCTCATGGTGTGCAATGTGCAAACTATAATTTGATGCATATCAAATTAGAGCACAGTGGCTAAAAGAAAGAGTTCTAGACTCAGACTAACTGGGTTTTGGTTGTATTTCTAGTGTGTTTCCATAGGCAACTCATTTAGCGTTTCTTAGTGTGAGTTTCCTTACCTAGAAGATGAAAATTATAAGACTGTCAATTTTACAGGGTTGATATGAAGATTAAATGAGTCAATTCATAGAAAGTGCTTCGCAGTTATTACCATATGATAAAAAGTTTCAAAAGTAAGCTCTTATTACTCTTAACCATATCAGATTTTAGATAATTATTATTATATTATTATATAATATATTAATAATACTACTTCATTTAGGTGAAAATAATTTAATTCTTTTCTTATAGGGTCGTTGCACTCGAGAGAACTGCAAGTACCTTCACCCTCCTCCACACTTAAAAACACAGCTAGAAATTAATGGAAGAAACAATCTGATTCAACAGAAGACAGCCGCCGCCATGTTTGCCCAACAGATGCAGCTCATGCTCCAAAATGCTCAAATGTCATCCCTTGTAAGTCTCTGAAAATTGCCAGTGTGTACTGGGGCTTTTGATTTTGAGTTTGTTTTTGTGGTGCTTGAGAATCAGACTAAGGGGGCTGGGAAGGTGGCTCAGTGGTAGAGCGCTTGCCTTGCATGCATGAGGCCCTGGGTTTGATTCCTCAGCACCACATAAGCAAAAAGAAAAAAAGCCGGAAGTGGCACTGTGGCTCAAGTGGTAGAGCGCTAGCCTTGAGGTGAAGAGCTGAGGGACAGCACCCAGGCCCAGAGTGCAGGCCCTACGACCAGAACCCCCCTTCCCCCCCCCCCAAAAGAAGAACCAGACTAAGGGCCTCACAGTAGGCAACTGTATTACTGCTTAGGTATACTCTCAATTCTATGTCTTTTTTTTAATAACCTTCAGATTCTCTGGGTCATTATCACTACAGGAGTATGGATACAGCTGTATACTTAGAGTACATTGATATAGCCCATTGATACTTCAGGTGTGGAGGATTGAAAACCTGGTTGTATTTATGCATGAGTTCAATTTCTGGAAGAATAGTACTAAGAGAGCAAGAATATTTCAAGATGAGGAGTATATTTGATTATTATTACATGGAAACTTTTGAACTCTGGGCTACAGATTCAGATTTCCTTGATTCCTTGGTGATTGTTGCTTCTTAATAAGATGTATTTTAAAATAATTTTAGACTTATTAGGAACATTTCAAATAGAGCATAGAGTTTCAGTAGTACTCTCACTCAGGTTTCCCCATCTTTTCTGTGATCCTGGAGATTGAACTCAGTGCCTGACACATTCTAGGCAAGGGTTCTACCACTGGGCCATAGCCCCAGCTCTGAACTGTTCTTTGCAAGATGGAACTCACGGCTTTGTGCATACTAAGCAAGTATTCTACTTCTCAACTATGCCCCAGTCTTACCCTAATTTTAACATTTTATATTTCCATGGTAGATGTACCAGAACCAAGAAATTGGTCTTCCCACATTACTTTCATTTAAGCTCTTGGCTTGGTTCAGGTATCAACAGGTTTTTCATTAATAATGCCAAAGCCTAGTCTATGGTACCATGTTGCATTTATTTGAATTCTGTCTTGCCTCTCTCTTGTGATCTGTGACCATTTCTCAACATAGCTACAGTTTCCCTTGGCAAAAAAAAAAATCAATAAGACTATGGTATCATAGACAAGTATGTAGTGTTTTTGTGGATCAGTGAGGGTTCAGATGACTAGTTTATAAAGTAATTAAGCTGTATCTGTTCATGCTGTCCTATTGAAAATTAATCCCATCTGGCTACCTTGAAATATACATTGATTTGGGTCTGGCACCTCTCAGAGAGAAATGAAATTTGTTCCATTTCTGTTGCAGTTCCTGTCTCAAATTTATCTCCATAGTGCCTCAGTCTAATTTTAACTAGCTTCCTTTCCTTTAGCTCATTCACAAGATAACCATGAAAGGTCTAGATTATCTTTATTTGTTACACATATAATCAATCACTATAATAAGCTCATAGACAGCTGAAAAATGTATATAATATTTAGGTGCATTAAAAATGTATAACTCAGACCATCTGCTCCCAGCAAGCCTCACTCATTAGAAGGCTGCTTCTCAAAATCTCAGGAGCTCGGTATGGATCTAGCACCTTTTACCTTGCATTATCTGTGTACATAAATTCAACAACCAGTGGTGTGGTAATTGAGGAGTCACTGAAGCTTTGCTCCATGGTCCGCCTTACTAAATGTCTAGACAAATTTAGGTGAAATAAGTTGGCTTTATATCCTGTACTGTTAGTTTGACCAAAAGAAAAAAAAACTTTCCTTGAAATTCAGCAGTGATTAATTACACTGATTAATTAGTGGTCAGGTCATCAGTAGGCCTCTTTTGAGATCCTTTGGCCTTTAGAAATACTTATATGGCCAAATTCTATGTTGAAACTCATTCCTAGGGTTTTGTACACTAAGGGGCCATAGTTCCTCCTTACTTCCATGGGACTAAGGGAAAGGCATTCAGGTACTGAGAATAATATGACCTAAACCACAGAACTATGAATAATATGACCTAAACCACAGAACTATGAATATGCTTCATGTACCCTGAAAATGTGAATACATAAGGAATAAACTGAGGGGAGGTTTTACATGTTTCCTCACTTTATGGAGGTATATTGACAAAAGTGTATATATTTAAAGTACACAGTAAAATGAATATATATATATATATATATATATATATATATATATATATACTCTGTAAAATGATACATGGATTTATCTAAAAATCATCATTCTAAGTGAAATGTCCAGATAGAGAAATACAAATAGTACATATCACTCACTTGGGAAATCTTTAAAAAGTTGAATTGTGGGGCACTGGTGACTCACATTTGTAATCCTAACACTCAAGAGGCTGAGATCTGAAGATCACCTTTTGGAGTCAGCCCAGGCAGAAAAGTCAATGAGGTTTGTGTCTCCAATTAATCACCAAAAAGATGGAAGTGGAGTTATGGCTTAAGTGGGAGAGTGCTTGCCTTTGCAGAACTTAGTTTAGGAACAGCTCTCAAGCCGTGAGTTCAAGCACCAGGATGGACACACACACACACACACACACACACACACACACACACACACTCACACACACTTACACACAAAAGTTGAACTCATGCACAGTGTTGTTGCTGGGGCTGCGGATGGGATATAGAGGGATATTCGCCTAAAGTTGATGATTTTAAAAAAGCAATGAACTCACTGTTACTATGCCCAGCTCACCATGGGATGTCTCACTTGCAAAGTGAACAAGAATAGAGCCCTGCATATCCTTTAGCACCACAGAGCACATGTCTTTTCAAAGGTTAAGAGAAATTTTCAGGCCACCAATTAAGAGGGAATCAGATAGCAGGGCATAAAGGTGAAGTAGGGTGAAGAGGGAAGTCTTAGTTCTTCAGGAATTATTAATCATGATGGATCACAATGAAAAAGTGATTTTTAAAACTCCAGTAAGATAACTGTAACCTCTGTGTCCATCATCTTTGTAAGAACAATAAAAAAATAAAAATAAATAAAACCCCAAAGGAACCAGCAAAAAGAAAAAAAATGAATCCAGTGAGTATACTCTTAGGGGAGCATACTTCTGTGCCTCTGAAAATATATAAATATATATAATAAATAGGTAACATATAAAACAAATATATAAAATAATATTTATCAAAATGAATTCTAAGAAATGGAAATGAGGTTTTTCTTCCTTTAAGAAATAATCCAATAAGAAATTCTTTAAATCTTTTAGCCTCTTGACTTGTGCTTTCTAGTGTGTGTGTGTGTGTGTGTGTGTGTGTGTGTGTGTGTGTGTGTGTGTGTGTGTCTGAACTGGGGCTTGAACTCAGGGCCTTTTGCTGTCCCTTTGCTTTTTTTTGCCCAAAGCTGGTGTTTTATCCCTTGAGGCACACTCCTACTTCTGGCTTTTTGGTGGGATAATTGGAGATTAGAGTCTCACAGACTTACCTACCCCCCCTGGCTTTGAACCTCAGTCTTTAAATCTCAGCTTCCTGAGTACTTAGGATTGCATGCATGAGGCACTGGCACCTGGCTCACACTTTTGATAACAGAATACATTTCCATTTTTTTCCTCCTGAGTGTAATTTCAGATTATAGACTGTAAAAATCAATGACTGATACAATTCACAGGAGTACAATTTAGTCCCTAGGAACAATTAGAAATTTCTTTTAAGCCTTGCAGATTATTCAGTGATAGCTGTTGCTATGTGAGAAACTGATAAAAGATTAATTTCTGCAGCTATTATGTGTACAAAAAAATCTTAACACTGTGTGGTCGATATGATCCTCCCGCATGGCCTTACAAACTGCTTTGTAGGTGTGTCATAATTAAGCTAGTGTGAATTCTTTTAAGTGGCTAGAAAAGAGCTCTTTATTACAAAATCCTGATATAATAACAGTACTATATAATTTTATTTAATTTCCCTGGTACCTAGTCACCCCCTAACAACTCTTTATCTCTTTCAATCACCTCCCTTACAAATAATCTGCTCCTTGTCCCTAACAGTTATTTTTTTTTAATGCCAGCCCTTGCATTTCTGTGATTGCACATTAAGACCCAGTTGTATCAGTGGCTTGAACTTAAGGTCTTTCTACAAAGCATACTTTGATTTGTTTCTAGGATACCATAAGAGCACATCTGCCTTTGCAAAATTGAATGTAGTTTGCTTATTATAAGCCCCTAGATAAAGGGAATGTCAACCTAAATGGAATGGGAGCTAAAGAACAGATTGTGTTCAGTGTGGCTGAACAATGAATGAATGCCACACCTAGTCAATTTGGGACAAATGCTTGCTGTAGCAGGCAAGTTTGTTCACTAGGTTTAACAGCTCTTCATTGATATTCACTGCTATAAAATCCCACCACTGAAAGGCTTTCCTTGGCTTTATTAAGGAAGCATAACAAGTGGAACAAAGGAGTACCTCTAATATTTTCCAGTGCATTTTAAGAGACGGTTTCTGATGTTTACAACACATATATATGTATGTGTATGTATATATATATATATGTCTAGGAACTTCCCTTTGCATAGTCAGGTGACAAATATGAGCACTGTAGAAAAGTTCAGAAGTAGTCACACTGGCTTACTCTCCAGCAAAACTAAAACATTTTTATTTCAGTTTTTTTACAAGGAAGTTTAGTGAAGTATATCACTACTGGATGTGAACTGTGTCTGTATAAACTGAATATTAAAGTATGTTTCTTTAGGCATTCTTGTATATCTAGACTTGTTGATATCAGGGAAAACCCTTTAGTTTCTCTCTTCGAATTTGATGATTCACATGGAAGGAGACTTGACCCATGGGAGCGTATTCATCTGATGACTTATACAGAGGAAGCGGTTCAGCACATTGCCCTCTAGTTTTGCTGTACACTTTTAAGCCTTCCATTATGGATAGGTTATAGAGTCCAAACCACAAAGATGATAAACAAGGACACACTCCATGAATTTCCTTTATCTCAGA